TACTGGATAAAACAAGAGGCGTATTTCTAGATAGATAGATAATATATATTTTTATATATAGATAGACACATACACACATACAATATTAGTTAAAATTTGTATGTGTATAAACTATATGTATGCAATATAATATATCAGTTGGTGTACATTTTTTTTCAAAATTCTGCTCACATCACACTTTTTTTTCTCAGTCTGGCAACTATTAGTATTTGTCCAAAATTTTATTTCATGATATGTTTTTTTTTAAACACCAGGATTTCATCAAGAAACAAATATCTAAGTATTATTAAAATGTCTTTTTACACACTATGACACCTTTATTTTTCTGCCAAATGAGCTGTTCTCTTGCTGTTAACCTATTGGTGCTTTTTAAGAGTAGTGCAGAAATAGTATATAGTATATATCCAGGAACCAGGATACACTCCACAGAGGTGAAGAAAATTTGTCAAAAAAAAACCCTAGGTTTTAGTCACGATGTCAGACACCAAGATTTTTATCTCGTCTCCTTTGCCTAACTGCTAGATTCCTGGAAATTGTTTATATGGAAATTGTATTTTGCTATGAGGTTTTACTGTCATTTTTAAATAAGCATACAATAACCAGTGGGGGATATACAGGTATTGAGATACCTGCATATGTGAATTAAGGCAAGAGGAGACTTTTTTTAAGCACTGGAGATGTTCTCACTGTTTAATTTCCTCTCCCTAAGTATCCATGTGTTTTTTCAAACATCCTTTATTTTGCTATTAGAATGTGTATTCCAGGATATTAGCAGCTCCATGGTTCCACCCTACCACACCTTTACCCACTGTCACCTTAGTAAAGTCTTTCATGCTCCTCTTGTGCTAAGCATGGATGGTGGTAGTGATGAATGGGGTGGTGCATGTGCTGGCACCAAAACTTCCAGAATTCGAAGTGTCGTGTCCCAACCTGCTGAGATCCCCACCAGGTAAAAGCATTAGAGCTGTCTCGCAGCTTACAGGTCAGGGAAAGAAGACAGTTGAGACACAAATTAGGTGCAGGGCTCAAAAGGGTCAAAGTAAAGGGGTGCTACTGAATTTGACCAGTCCTTAGCCTGGGACTACTAATGCATTAATTTCAGCTTAGGGTCAGGCAGAGTACAGCTTCTGCAATGGAGACAGTGGATTTCATCCCCACTAGAGGAACTTCATAACCCTCTGACCCTTTCTGAGTCTTATTTTCTGCCTGAATGGAGTAAGCATGGTGCACATGCTCACAGTAAGCCCAGCACTGAAATACACCAGAAATGGAATTAACTGCACCTTCCTGTTAGCCATTGGCAAGGGAGAGCATCACCAGTTAAGCAGTTGAGCCACCACTGCAGGACATTATTGCCTGCTTGAATGAACAAATAACAACATTTTATTTTCATTAATATTAAAGATATCATGAACCCTACATGTCTATTTCTAATTTGAACTGGTGTCAACCAACGCAGTAAATATTGAGATTAATCTCAACAACTGTGCATTTTAAGGTTTACTTGCAAAGATAAAATACCTGTGAGTGGGTAGAGGTGAAAAAGAAATGTGAGCTATTGATCGCAAAAAAGCAACCTAAGCAGTTCCATTAATTCAGATAACACAGTGTATCACCATCTTGAAATTGCATTTGTAGGTTTTACAGTTTTTCTCAGCCTTAGATTACAATTTCAAATATTTAAAGGCATTCATTGATGCGATGTCATTTTAAACCTCTGGCATCACAGATTCCTGATGTCATCGCCTATTAGGGGTACCTCTTCAGAGATTTTTTCTTTTGGATGCACTTGTTTGTTGCTAGTGTAAAAAAGCCTCCATTATTTGTGTGTCTTCATAGCTCAATGTTGAAAGTGGGCTAAGGATAAGCATTACATCTTAAAAAGTCAGACACTGCAGTTGCCATTTCGGAGTTTTCAGCATAAACACTTTTTTTTTCAGAGAGGAAATGAGACATTTTTGGCTTTGGATTGGCGGGGGGTGGGGCGGGAAGAGAGAGAGTGTGTGTGTGTATATGTATGAAAGTATATATGTATGTGTTCTGGTTTGGTTTTAAGCAAGTAGTTTACATCAAAAAATAATTAATGGAGGGGAGGAAATATTGTTAAAATTATTTCAGAAAAAGTGATATTTCTCTGTTATTCTACTAGTAGACTTTTGCTTATGAAGCCATTGCAAATATTCTAATTCTAAGGTTCATTTTGTGCAGAAGTATCTCATTCTCACTAACATTTTCTGAAAAAGATTTTTCTGTTTATTTTAATGAAAAATGCTGCATAACGCATTACTCCAATGAGTAATCCAAAATAAGTAGTGATGCATTTTAGTTTGTTGAATATCTTGTTGTAAACCAAGTTTTAGTGATTACACACATGCTGTATTACTTTGCTTAGGTTTAAAAATGTAGGTTTATTTACAGTAGAGAAAATACTTTGTTTCTTGTGTAACGTACCAGCATGTCCTGAAAACATTTGCTTCCAAAAAGATAAAAAGCTATTAGGTGGAGAAACACACTGATGAAGATGTGAACATATAAAAGAATTAAAGACTGTCAATAAGCTTGTAAATTGCTGTTTTCAGGTTCCCCTAGTGTTTGCTGTGATAACAAGAATACCAGTAATCAGGAATAACAGAAACTTTAAAAGTACTTTAAGTCCAGTTTTAAATCTGAAATTGACTTTTAAATATCTGCTTTTAAATTATTTTTTTTTCCTGAGCAGAAAGCTTTGCTGATATGTGCTGATAACAAGCATCGTGAAGAGCCTGCTTCATGTCACTAACAAAAATTAACACTAGGAACTGATTTAGGATACTAGGATTCTAGAAAATGATCTAACATAAAATTTATGTTAAGATATTCAGATATTTTAAAATTAATTTTTTATTAACAGAAGTTTTGGCCAATTTTACAGTGTTTATTCCTGCAGATAAACTGTATTAATGTTGGCTTGCTTCTGCAAATATTCTCACAAGTTTAATACATATGAGAGACCAGATTAAAAATAAACCAAGACCGCTCACATAAGAAAACTTCTATACTGCTAGTCTTAACAAACATGTGGCGACATGATTGTTGGCACAACAAAACAGAGCATGAAGATCTCTAATTTTAAAATTAACTTAAGAGTTCTTTTCATTTACTTTCTACTTATTAAACTATAAGGTCTTCTAGTTGCTGTCAATCTTTCCCTGCAAGTATCAGATGCAGAAACTGGAATTAAAAGAACTCCCAAACTCACAATAAATTCTCTATATTCCAAGACATTCAGGAGCTGCTAATAATTTTGTATTGAGGGAGGTGGACATCCTCAAGATTGCCCAAGTTACTCTTTGCAATATCAACTACTATTCATGGGTGCTCAGGAAGGTCCTGACAGCTTGTTTCTCTGGGAGAGGAGAAGAGGAAGCAGCTCATTTTAAACAGCAAATTACAAGAGCAAAAGCAAAAGTCAGTGATGAAATGGTAAAGAAAAGGAAGTACTTTTAGAAAAAAAAAAACAGACAAGCCACTAGGCATCATTCACTTCCATGCCATTTTGGTTTTTATGCATTAGAGCAGTTATCCTAGCAAGTCTGAATCATTTGGTATGCAGAGCATTCAAAGATGCAAAGATAATTAAGGAAAGGGGACCAAAACCACACCACACAGACTTATCAACACATTGTACGTAACTTTTTTTTTCCCTTTTAAACAGTGTTTAAGAAAAATATGCTGTGTTACCATAACAAACTAAAATACTCTCTCAACCTCTTAAGAGTTTACTTTTCATTTTCACTTCTTTTGGTTCCAGGTAGGTTTTATTTGGTTTTGTTCTGCTTTATAAAACCTTTTCCCAACACTAATGGCTTCAGGAAGAAGAAACAAGGGAGAAATATGAGCACAAAATAGAGCTGACAGTTGTGTATGTTGTCATTTTCTCTTGTGCCACTCATAGGTGGGTAAGGGTATAGAAGAAATAGGACATAATGTTTTATAGAATACAGTCAGACAGAGATTCCAGCTGGCATTCACTAAAGCAAAAGGGAACATTTTCCTCATGTAAAATCATTGTTTAAATCCCCACCATACATAACTATGGAATAATGGGGTCACTTATTTTCCACCACTTCAGTAAGATACTGCAGCAAGCTAATGATTTTACAAGACAGACAGTTTAAAGCATCGATTTGCTGCAAATTGGTCAATCCATAACTAATGACCAGCTCTACAGGTTTTCAGTAAACCAATCCTATTAGAATTTACCATTTGCGTAAGATCGTATTACTCACTCTGTGGACACAGAACGAAATTTCTTTTTTTTTTGTAACCTTCAGCAGCCCCTTGTTGTTACTCTTTTTTAAAACTCTCTTAAGTTTCTATGGGTGGGTTGCCTGTCTTGAAGGTTCTGACAGCATGCCTGAAAAAAATACACTGTCCACTTCTACACAGGCACACATGCATCCTGTGTCAAGTCCTAGACATTCCCTTGTAGAAGACAGAGAGTTAACATCCAAGAAGGCAGGACGAGATGACAAATGGAATTCAGCCTCTGTCACCTGTAGCACTAAAACTCTGCCCCAATTTGAAGGTGGATTATATTTTACACCTCTAAGAGTGTGAAGTCAAATGGCAACTTATTTGGACTCACACAAGTAATTCTTCATAACAAGCTGAAATCTCGTCTGCATGAAAAAAATAGCAAAGGCAAAAACCTCTATGGATTGAGTGACAGGACTTTTGTCAAATATCTGTGGTACAGAAACAGGAAATTGAGAACTACACTTGCTAACAGATCAACTTCTAGATTACTTTATTATTGGTGATGCCAGTATGTTTGTATCATGTTTTCTCTGGGCTATGTAAGAAAAGGGTCAGTTCTATCATTGTCAATTACTACAACAAGATCATTATAGGCAAAACAGCTATAGGCAAGCAGAAGTTCAAATCCTGTCAATGAATTCATAGACTCTGAAAAAACATTGTATTGGTTGTTACAAAAGAGCAATATGGCTGGAGGGCTGTTAGTATGGGAGTGTTGAGTCATCCCACTCCAACTGCTCTTGCCTGGTGGCATTCTGTTTGTCTCCCTTTTGGACAATCTCTTCCTCTTCTTCCTCTTCCTCCTCCTCTTCACTTTCATCTGAGTCAGCACTGGTTGTGTCTTCCTCTTCGTCTTCTAGGTCTTCTTCCTCACTCTCTTCTTCTGTCTGGTGAGGCTTTTCATATTTCTACAGTGCATTTAAAGAAATGAAAGACAGACAATAGAAGAAAAGTGCCTTCTTGCTAGCCAGTGGCTGTGAGAATGTGAGCATTTATTCCACGTTTAGAAATGCTAACGTGCTGGGAAAACTTGCTTTCCACTGTTATGTGACTATTAGGCATCAAATATTATACATTTCAGTAACAAATATTCAAAATATTGTGACTGTAACATGAATGGAATGTCAATAAGCAATATCTTTGTTAGTCAAGCTGCCAAAATATAACCCGTAATTGTCAGTTTCTTTAAACTGCTCATCATTTCCCTTCCTTTTAGTGTATTAGTGCTTATATTAGTTAAAAAGTTATTATATTAGTTAAAAAGTGCTTATTTTAGTTAATTTATAAAGTTAAAAACAAAGTAACTATATCATTTTGGGTACCTGAGGTGCAAATATGGATGGAGAGGAACTGGTGGTGTACCCAAGAATTCTTCACCATCCTATTCATTAATTATATATGACAATAAATATTAAGTGCTCAATTACATATTAGCACAGCGTGCAGAGCTGAAAAGTGAGACGGGGTCCCGAGTGTACATCCACACAACTGTTCTGCCAAGCCTGAACAAGTGTACTCTGAAAGAGGCTTAAAACTCTCTGCTGAGTAAGCTACCGGCCCAGACAGTATCTCCTGGTAGTATCATGATACAATACTATGGCTCAGTTATGTACCTCCATGGGGTTGACAGTAATAGTCAGAGCAGAATCATCCCAATCCATTTCATTTTCTTTACTTCCTTCGGTGTCTGCAGAGCTGTGCTGATGAGCTGTCCGAATTCGATAGACCCCCAGGGTTACGATGAAAATTAGTATGCCCACACAGATTATGATAATGATAGTAGCCACACTTGGAACAACTGCAACAAAAGGTGGAAAAAGGAATGGGCTTACATTTGTGGAACAAATTGCCTACAAAACACTAAACACATTGTCTATTTTTTCCCCTCAGCACTTCTTCTTTGGACTGAGAATCATCACAGCCACCTGTGGTGTGCCTGGGACTACAGAAAGTGTCGACAACTGCCCACCTACTAAGGCAGAGCATACATGAACGGTGTTTACAGATACCTTATAATGAGTATTACAAATCATAACTAAAAAGTGAGTATGGCTACCATTTGTTCTTTAATCCACTTTATTACAAAAGACAAGTAGTCTATCAGTGCAGAAGCAATTAGTTTCAGAACAAGAGTGTTTGCAATAAGGTTCAGTTATCTTACCAGCATGTTGTTCCCTTCTGATTACAGCTGAGATATTACCTCATTTGTGAAAAAAAGTATATCTCAAAGCTTATATGTTTAAAGGTTTCAAACACTTGTATAGTGATCTAAATCTTGGTCTCCAAGAAATAAAATAAAACATTGCCACTCTATTTGCCTGTGTTACAACCTTCCTGGGAGACTCTTGAGGATTCAAGACATTTTTCCTCACTGTTCTGTTGCACTCTGAGAAGCCTCTGTCTCCACCTAGTCACAGGAAGAAATCTCTCTGAACTACTCTTCTATTATCAGCTCCGTAATTAGGTTAGTGGAGAAGCGCTGCCACTTTCTCTGTACCTTTGCCACCCAGGTACTGCAGTTCCAGGAGCTATAGTAGTTCTGTACCCCATCTTATCTCCTTGCCCTGCCTGTAAGAACTGAACTCTGAAATCAGAACAATATTGAAGAAAAAAGAACTGGATTGCAGTAGTTCATTTTGCAAAAATTCAGTTTCATTTTAGTAAAATGTCTGTACAAGTGTACAGAAAAATACAGTAATTTTTCTAAGCATAACTGTATATAACTACTTATAAGTACCTACACTTTTCATCAGCTTTACTTATTTTCACATATCTCCTTCAGCTAAAAGGATTTCAGAATCCAGCATTTGAACAGATATCTTTGCCCTGGGTTTAACTTCATTGAAAAGGCTTCAGATTTGGGTATATATTTTAACTCATATAGTCTAAAAATTCAGTTTAAATACGGTATTTAATATATACTAATGCCCCCTGCACATGGCTAGGTGGGCCTATCTTCTCTCCAGAGAGGTCCAGACTGAGGCCTGGACAGCAACTAAAAGAAGCACTGCAGCAACTATACATTTGAAAAATAAAACACTTATTCCTTTTGCTTAGAAAGGGGTGGGTAGAAATTAATATGCCATAAAACTACAGATGTACAAAGACAATATGAGCATAAATATTATTCTTCATGCCATTGAATACTATAAACAAGACATTTTCTTAGCTATGTGGGTCAGAGTACATAACTTTTAAAGAAGACTTTAGAAAATGCTACCAGTTTTTATTTACAAAGTGCTTCCCTGAAAGGAGAGAGTTCAATGTCACCTTCTTTTATACCTATGCAATGATCTCTGTGAGGTTCACAAGCTGTAACTATGGACTTCAGGGCTTTATTTGTTCATGAGGACGAATCACGAGGGAAATACTGACACACTAGAGTCATTATAAGCAGTCCCTGTAAAGTCATCACATACCTGAGTTGTGAACAGCACTTGTGCTTCCCTCTGGGTGGTGAACAGGTTGGAGAAATTGTGGCTGTACTATCATATGATTTACATGGTCCATGAAGTTGGAGTTGGAGCTGTGTAGAATATTAACCTGGCACAAGAGAATAAAAAAGACATTAAATACTAAAAAGTGCTCTACATTCCAAGCCTGCTGGCTCCATACATTACATTGAAGTATGAAGTTCATCAGTAGATAGAAACATTATTATATAGCTCTTAAAGGCCAAATTAACCTTTTTTAGGCTAGTGAAAAATACACAGGTTAATATATTTCTCATTTCTAGCATTAAAAATGCATTCTAACATTTCTAACTGTAGACTATGAAGTGCAACAGAAAAGGATGTTTTTGATTTACCTGTCTGGGTAAGTAGTGACATCTTTTTCCCTATACTAATCAGCTTTTAGGTGTTCCCTGTAAGTTAGTGGGAGATTTGTCACATTGAACACTGACAGAGAATGTATCAAAACTCACTGGGTTTAAAACCAAAACAGTACGTGAGAATTAAAAGAGGTTTCAGTTTTTCCTGCATCCTACTTTCAGAGTGACTTTCTTTGAAGACACCATATCAGTTCTCTGTCCTATTGATAGTTATGTTATACACTCCCCCCCCCCCAAGTCATTGTCAGGGCTGCAGAATGCTAAGGTGAAAAGAATACAATGTAAACATGTAAAAACTTTCAGAGTCAATTGTTGAGTTTTGAGCCTATTGCTAAGAAGGTCTTGCCCTTTCCTGTAGTTACTTGGTACTTGGGTTCTAGGCTGGATAAATTGGTTCTTCACAATAGGTCCATGATTCCTGCTAAAGTGCATCAGGTTAAGTAATAAAGTAACTCATCTAAGGAACATAGTGAGGCTGTAATGATTTACTTTCGAGCAGGAGTATAAGTCTTCAAAAATACCTGTAGGAGATTTTATGTCATGCCAAACCAACAATGACAACCTTAGCCTCCATTCCATTTGAACAGGAGTAATTCTCTTCTGGTAGAGTTCAAGAGAAGGGTCATCTCCTTACACATACAGCAGAATAGAGAGCGCCACGTTGAGGAATGCCCACAGGAGAAGTCAACTTCCCATTTGAATAGAACTTAGAGTTTTTCCTCTATTTGATTATAGTTACCAGAACGTGTAAATAATTTTACATATTTTAAAGACAACTTGATGTTGCTGAAGATAAGGCTAGTGCTCAGCCTCAGTGCTGGAAAAGAAAACCCGACTAAATGGTTGCTTACCTCCAAGTTAAATTCGTTGCTAGTGTAATGTCCATTTAGCTCCGAGCACTTGACTCTGAACTTTCTGTCAAAGGTGTCAGAAGTGTGCCAGTTACGATATCGAATCTGCCGAAGAGCCTGTTCATAGGTGTGCATGCTGTCCACACCTGAAACGGTGGTAGAGCAGTAATAGTCTCAAGGAGATGCTATATAACAAATGCTCTGTGCAGTACAGGAGCAATTAAATGTTCATAGAAAATAAAAAGTTTGCCCAATGATCTTAAAGTGGCAGTGCATCAAATATTCCCTGATAGAGCCTCTGGCTGATACTAAATTATATGAGAATAGTTTTTGGAAATGAACGTAGGTCCATAATGGAGAGGAAAAAATACAACAGCAAAGATTCAGAGTAAATTATTAAGTAATCAAAAAAAAATGGCCATTGAGTTACCAGCATCATGCAGGAGCAGTGAGAAATCCCCTTATTCCCATATTCCACTGTCATGGTCCTCAAGAACCCACACATTTAAAGCAAGCAGTGTTGTTGTTTTCCTTGTTTGGAGAGTAGCAGGAGGGGTGTTGAGATCAAGATAAAGTTGTGATGTATCCCATAGAATAAACACAGCACACCCAGAGATCAAGAAGTGATTGTACTTTTTGAGATACAGTCTCCTGGAATATTTTTTACAGCTACTATATCACAGATTTCTGTCTAATTTCTTTCACACGAGTCCTTTCATTCCAATAATGTAACCGTTGGTGGGAAGAAATAAGTGAAAGCAAAGTCCACGAACATACCATAGATTGAATATCCTGCTGTGGAATTTGTGGCATCTAGATGTTTTCCTTGAAGCTCCACATGATCTAGTTCTAAACACTCTTGTTCCGGATCTAGTTCTGCACCAATGACCAAAATATCACAGAAATCCAAATTGTGGAGCATTTCCTCTAATGCCACTGGCTTATTGGCTGCGAACACATGGCATATACCATGGAAAAAAAGAAGAAAGAAACTAAGACAAATGATCACAGAACAGCTCAGTCATTTTATGTGCTTTGCACCAGGGCTTTCAATTTTTGCAAAGATGGCTGATCTGGTTTTTGCTGATATCCAATACAGCATACTTGAAGCAAATCAAGAGAGAAATGTCTTGCCTGTTCAGGTGCTGTGACGATGAAGGCCTACAAATATCTAGTGAGATAGACAAGAGAATATATTGCTCTGTAATAAAAGGCATCCAAGAACAGGACTGGAAGTGATCCTAGAAATAAATTAATGTAAGCAATTCTGGCTTTCAGGACTGTATTGATACCATGTTGGTAGCACTCAAGGAAAATCAAACTGGAAAAATACATGTCAAATATATCTATGCTTGGATGGTTCTTTCAGTTACTCTATGGCCCATAAAGAATTTGCATTGCAGAGAACATGACCATCTAGCCAAGAACATGATATTATCATAAATGGCAAGATCCTGTGTTGTGTGACTTGGAGAAATTGAGTTGTAAACTGACTATCCTTCAGTACATACAATTGAAAAAAATAATTCTGTTGCCAGAAAAAGAGTAGCGTATCAATTTAATATTTTAATTCTCTGGTCAATTTAGCATAGAGTGTCTGGGGAGACTGCTTAACCAGCTCCCTGAGGGTATCATAGATACAGAGACTGCAATCTTGAAACTTCCTACCCATTTTGCGAATTTCATTTTAGAAGGTGTATGGAAGGTAGACACAGACAGAGAAGTCTTATGCCTTAGTTTCCCAGCTCCTGGTACAGTGAATTTGAGTATCTGAACTCTAGGTACAGCTCTAACTTATCCAAAAATGTACCCTACTCAAATTTGCAGGACAGGCAAATTGAATATTGCTAGGGCTGATGAGTTGGGCTGTTTCATGGGAAACTATGAGAGACAGGCAAGAGCAGGGCTGCAGAGCAAGGTAAAGGCCTCAACTTGTCAGCTTTGCTGCTCTGGCTGCCAGTGGGCAAACAGGAGAGATAGGGGCAGCAACTTCAGCTGTTGGCAGGATCCCATTGATTTCTCTACTGAGGCAGGACAAGCAGTAATATATTGGCATTCCGGGGGCCCTCTGCAGGTAAGTAAGACCTCAGAGCCGCAGTCATGCTGCTGCCTGTGGTAACTGCCTGATCTGCTTTTGATGAGACAGACCTAACTGTGACTGGGGAATACACAGCCTTGCCATATGCATCTCTGCTACAGTCATGATGATCAGGTTATATAAATCCCCAATAAGTAAGTGGAAAAATAGCTACAGGTAGGTCAAGATTTATGGCTTTCTTTGCCTTTGTCAGACAATATCAGGGCTGAGAGAAATAATGATTCAAGTTTATATTGCAGGAATTGAGACTTAGAATTCAATAGTCTTTTGCAAGACACAATTATTCCCAAAGCCAATTATTATCTATCCATTTTAAACACTCTTAGTGGAAGCAAACAAGAGATGACACATTAGGAAGTGCCTGATTTTCAAGGAATTAAATAGTAGTTTAAGAAATGCTGCTATGCTCCTTTTCAAGGTGAGACTCTGTCTTTTTAGGTTACAAGGTGATACAACAGTAATTATGTCAATAATTGTATTTGGAAAAATTGGGATAGATTAAATTTATGAACTAAACTGGAGGGCTAATTCACCAAACAGTTTTGAAGATGTCATAACATTTAGGGACATGGAGCGTTATACATGCATTGTGGCTTAAGTGGTGGACAACGATCTCTCTTTCCTATGTAAGAATTCATTTTTTTACATACTGCAATTGTATCCAGTTAATATTATGATAAGATACCCTTTCCAGCCTTCAGAGGACAGATGCAGTTTCAGGCAAGTGATAAGCAGCATGATTACAGAGCATGGCTTCAGGGAATCCATGCCCCTACACTTGCACATCATTAGTGATTTTATCTTTTTAAGAGATGTACATCTAGTTTCTGCGTATTCTAGTCCAACAAATATTGTTTAGAATGATTACTCAGACTACTAGGCTTTTCATTTACCTTGCCCACAAACATCCAAAAGGAAGATTCTTTTATAGACAATTATTTTAAACCTTATTTATATTTTTGAAAATTCACCTACTGTTGAGTAATGATACACACATTGCTCAGCATTAGAATAAACAGTCATCATTGAAAAAAATCTTTGCAAATGATTATATTTATATCATGTAGGTGGGAAACTGAGGCACAAGATTACTTTCTCAAGTATCACCTGCAAGTCAGTAGCAGAGCTGGAAACATAAGAATAAACTAAAACTCCAAGTCAATTACTGCTTTACACTTTATCAGTACAGTTAACAAATTTCTGTTACAAACAGAGAGTTTCTAGTGAAAATACGTTATTCAATGGAATATGTAAAGAAGAGTGGAAATTACTCTGAAGTAGGCAAGACACTAAAGGGAAAAGCTGGTTTTTTTTGAAGCACATGCTAATCTACCACTATTTAATACATTTTTCAATGTGTTTAATTGAATGTCTTCGGTACAGCACTACTGCTGACTAACACTGCCTAAATTAATCTGGGTGAAGTGTCTTCCTTTGTGTTACTTGTTTGCACTGTCCTTTAAAAAAATGTGAGGGGTCATGTTACAAAGTACTACTACTTAAAAGAAATCCACAAACCTCTGTCATGTTCTTTTAAGTCCACTGGATGCTTCATTTTAGCGACTGTGCTGACAATCCTGATGTCAGGTAACAAAATAACACCTCTCTCACTTTCGAATTGTGCGGCTGGTCTAGCAAAGTGGTCCATCCCACTTATTGTAATCTTGGGCTCATTGGCCTGAAACACCATTACATACGCATCTATATCTGGGATACTAATGCAGACATCTTCACCAAAACATCTGAAAAATATATTATTCATTAACTGCATGTAACACATTGTACATCAGAGCTGTGTGGCACTTGCACTGTCCAAAACCCACCTGATGGCTCTCAACTCTTTTGTATTGTTTCAGATCAGTCTATTCCATACTTTGACACTGCCAGACATAAGGACTTGCTTCTGTATCACCATGCATGTGGGCCAGCAGTGACAGTAAGAGCTCTGTTGCGCTCATCCCCTCCCACATTCACAACTACTGAAATTATGTAGGGACAGCTTAGCAAACAGGTTCATGACAAGCGCAGTCTTTAGTAAGATCACTATGAGAATAATGTTTTGATGTTTAACTGGCACTCAACAAAGATTTGAATGGTTAAAAAGATTTAAAGTTAATTACATGACAACAACTAACTTTAGTAAACCTAACATTGACGTCTCAAAGCAATATCTAATGCATATATTATGGTTATCTTGTCATTTGTGAATAAAAGGGCCTAATTATCCATTTAAATTGGACCCACCATGAACTCATTCTAGCAGCCCCCCAGTATTTACTGGGGACAAAATAGGCCTATATTAGCATTTGCACCTGAATCACACTATGCTTTGGAAGTGAATCTCCTGAGAAACTCTACCTTACTTATCTTGACACAAGGCTTGGGCCTGCCTTGGAGTGTGCAAACAGACTGCTTCCAGTGAAACTACATCAAAAGATGTTCTCCAAACACTTACTGTGGTCAGCCCACAGCACTAGACTAAACTTGGTACTTAGCAAGAACTGTACAAGCAGTAGATGAGAGCTCATAGAACTGATGTTTGTTTTCACTTTAGAAATCTGCTTTCACTGCACTGTACAACTTGCTGTAACAGAGGCATACCCCAGGGGAGCTCGGGAGTGGCAGATGGCTCTTTGATTATGTAGAACTGTAAACATTATTGTGCAGTTTCTGTCACTGTTGTTGCATGAAAATGGAAGGACATGGATTTCTGTTTAACATCCAACATCAGTACCTCAGTGACGACAGCCATGTAAATATACTGACAAATTCAAGCACAGCTACAAGTACTGTTCTTGCCGCTGTGTTGTCTATTAGATGCAATAGACCTGCTTTAAAAAGTCATGGCGCTAGCTGTCTCAGAAGAAACTGCAATTTTTAAAAATGAACAGTAAAACAAGAATTCAATAAATGCAAATACTGTTCAATCCAGGCTATATGCTCCAAACTATAAACACAATGCAAGTAAATTACATTAACAAGAAAAGTTTCTTAAAAGGATAATATCAAAAGAAAACCACAATGTAAATCAGCATAAAAGTAAATGAAATTAATCCTTTATGCACAATAACATAAAAGTATGATGTAGCCATGTCATTTAGTAAAAATTCTTCTGTTTACATGTCCAAAGAAAAAAGTAATTCATTAAAAATATTTCTAATCTGTTCAGTTCAGCTGAAGTACAACTTACTGGACTTTAGATGAGACTTTTAGACGTCGTACGCCTGCAGTAGGAAACTGTCTAGAGTTGATGTATGAGACCTTTCGGAGAGCCTGATTTATATTCTCAATGTCATCTCCTTCCATGACAAGGACTGACTGGGAAGGGTTGAAGTGATACTAGAGGAAATGCATATAATTAGTGTTTCAGGTATCAGGTACAGAGTACAAAATAAGATATTTCTTTAAGGAATGTTGCACAGACGTAAGTTTAAAATCTAGTGATTTAAGGAAAAAAAAAAATCTTAGTAGCTATTGTTTGGTGAATCCACATATTGTTGCCTAAAACATGTACTTGTATTAGTCATCTATTTTGTATCTGAATAACTACTGTTATAATTAATTTTACAGTAAACTAATCCTGATTTGCTGTACTTTGCCCAGCCTTATCAGCTTTGCTGATACTATTTCTGCAGCTGCAGAGTTCAAAACCTTAACTTACTGTCATCATTATTATTAGTATGTAATTTTTTTAGGTTAAACACATTGTCCATACAAAAATATTGGCTTAAATCAGAGTAGCATGCAGAAGCACCTTTTATCCTGCTTTCTGTTTGGTTTTACCCTGGGCTATCTTTCTGAGATATATTCCAACATGGATGAACAAAACATTATAACATTTGTCTCCTACATCTTCATTAACATCAGACACAATAAAGGGGATTCTCCTTTCTCTGTCTCATGATCAATAAGGGTGTCATGATTTAAGATGGAGCTGGTACTTGCACTAAGCCAGCTGCTCATCTGAGCCAACAAACCTTGCAGTCAATGGTTATTCCTGTAGCCCTGATCCTTCTCTAGTCCGTTGCACTAAACAAAAAGCAGTCTTGCTGACCAAGAAACTGCTACTATATTCACACAGCAAATGGTTGATTTTATGTTTATCATAATTCATCCTGATTCTGTTTTTTTGTCTGTTAATTGGTTCAGCAAACCATCTGCATCACAGAGAAAAACCAGATTAACCCCCTTGACTTTGTATCCTACCATTGTCAGCACAAAACACAAAGAAATGCACCCTTCGCGCAGTCCCTTCTCAAAGCTGGATATTGATTATATGAACATGTTCTATTATATACAGATAATGGTTGGCTACACTTCCTTACAATAAGATTGAAAAGCGAAAGAGCAAATAGACTGTGAAGAACAGAATGAAGTACAGGGTTTTCTGTTGAACACAACACAGAGGACTGGATTTAAAGCTTGTGCAGGAAGGTCATAACACACTGAAGGGTATTTTTTAACAAAGAGGAGGACTAACAGGAGTCACAGCCTGCATACACATCTTTTTCATTTCTGTAAGCTAGCAGTAGTAGAGAATAAAATTAGCAAAAGGGGACTCTAGCTAGCTAGTTAACTTAATAGGTCAGCTGGCAGAACAGCTGGAATGCTGCCAAAGGAACTGGAGAACGCCCTAGTCTGAGCCATTTTTCTCTCATTGAAAAAGGCTAAAAATAGCGACAGTTTAGACAGTGTTTCTGAGAGCTGTTACAGATATCTGAAGATTAGGCTGCAGACAAAAAAAAAATCAACCGTCCAACACCACTGTGTCAGAAACTGTACTACAGCTGCATTGCTCTTTCTTAGGTGGCTAAAGGGTGATGCTTCATGAGTCCAAACTGCCCAGCAGAAACACCTTCCAACATCAGTTTCCCAACATTGAACCTACTAAGTGCCATGTAAATAGCCACACAGAACCCATCATCTGTGCAGCTGTCACATATGCTTGTCTGAGATCAGGTATGTTTATTTTTGACATCAGAAACACCTTCTCTTCATTAATTTTTAGTTCAAGGTCAGGCACCAACTGTTCTGCTTTCATCTGAACTTCTTTCTGGCAGCCCCAATAAGAAAACCTAGCACAATCTATCACTGACTGCTCCTTTCATTTTTGACTCCTCCTGTTGTACTATCTGTTGAGCTTGCTGAGGAGGTAAAAATGAAAACAGTAAATTTTAAAAACCACGATGCCTTGGCTGTATTTCAGAAAAATGAAAATGATTTGAAGTTGGGTGAAGGAAAGAAAATGCAGAAACCAATCCCTCACTCTCCTTTTCCCCCACTGCACTGCTAGCACAATAAGGAAGGCAATCACCCATGCTGTAGCAGCAGTACATTGTATAAAGGGGATTTTTTCCAAGCCTATGAAACAAGACAGAATCACACAGAATCACAGAATGGTAGGAGTTGGAAGGGACCTCTGGAGATCATCTAGTCCAATTTCCTCGCCAAAGCAGGTTAGCCTAGAGCCGGTCACACAGGAATGCGTCCAGATGGGTTTTGAAGATCTCCAGAGAAAAAGTCTCCACAACCTCCCTGGGCAGCCTGTTCCAGTGCTCTGCCACCCTCAGAGTAAAATTCCTCCTCATGTCCAAGCAGAACTTCCTGTGCTCCAGCTTGTGCCTGTTGCCCCTTGTCCTGTCACTAGGCACCACTGAGAAGAGCCTGGCCTCACCCTCTTGACACCTGCCCTTTAGATATTTGTAAGCATTGATAAGGTCCCTTCTCAGTTTTCTCCTCTCCAGGCTAAAGAGCCCCATGTTTCTCAGCCTCTCCTTGTAGGAGAGATGCTCCAGTCCCCTAACCATCTTCATAGCCCTCCGTTGGACTCTCTCCAGTAGTTCCCTGTCCCTCTTGAACTGGGGGGGCCCAGAACTGGACACAGTACTCTGGGTGTGGCCTTACCAGGGCAGAGTAGAGTGGGAGGATGACCTCCCTCGACATGCTTGACACACTCTTAATGCACCCCAGGATAACATTTGCCTTCTTGGCCACAAGGGCACATTGCTGGCTCATGGCCATCCTGTTATCCACTAAAACTCCCCAGTCCCTCTCTGCAGAGCTACTCTCAAGCAAGTCGAACCCCAACATGTACTGGTGCATGGGGTTAGTCCTCCCCAGGTGCAGGACCCTACACTTGCCCCTGTTGAACTTCATTTGGTACCTCTCTGCCCAGCTCTCCAGCCTGTCCAGGTCTCGCTGAATGGCAGCACAGCCCTCTAGTGTGTCAGCCACTCCTCCTAACTACTCAAATATTGTCAAGTTTCAGAGTGTGACAATAGGGGAGGAATTACTATGCTTTTAAGCACCATGGTCCAAGTGTACACTGCTTTAATTCATGTAACAACCCAGCAATGACCCTACTGGTAGGCATGTACAGTTGCGTTCCAGAAAACCCTACCTGCTCTTTCTACGCCTTGCCTTTTAAAAACAGCTTTTACTCATAAGTGTGCCATTTTGCTGGGAGAAGCAACAATGTGAAATTCTTAATGATGTCCTTGGTAGGACGAAAAAAAAAATAAAATTCTTTGGGATGTCTTGCTCATATGTAAAAGCTAGAGCTAGCAAAATTCCTCCTTACCTTTGCACTTTCAATTTTCATTTTTACCCATTTTTCAGAAAACGTATCGGTTTTACTACTGCAACTTATCACCTGGACAGACATTTGAGAGTGTTTCAGGTCAGACTCCTATCTTGTACAATGAAAAGGTTTAGGTAATAAAATGTAGTACTTGGCACTTCCACTGCATGCTCTAGATCAAGTGTTACAGCACCATGCTCCTCCTCACTGAAAAAACAACACACTAAAAAAATCACCTGTGCAGCATCACAGGATGCATAGTCTGCAGCCAAAGTATCTTCCCAATTTGAATTTGAAGCTCAGCTCCTTTGGAAGCTGGTATTGTGCACTAGGAAATAGCTTAATAGCGTTTACACATTAGGCAGAAAAACACCTGTCATTAATAATGGTATCAGTAAAGAGAAACTGGCAATGCATCTCAGATAAGTATTATAGAAGTTATAGTCAAGATCCTACACACATATCCAAAAGAAGAGAATTTGTCTTAATCAATGCAAAGTAATGTGGCCACTATGTTGACTGAAATAGGATTTCCCTCTGTCTGTTCTCCAAACTTAGAAAAAATGTTACAATATCAGTAGTCATATGCAGAATGAAGATGGATAATGATTTATATGCAAATGTAAAATTTTAATTCTTGACTTTAGGATTTTTTATTATCCAGTTTTCATGTCATATAACATTTTTCTCTTCGAACACACTTAAAATTTTTCAATATGATTGCGTTGGGACTTCTTTTGGAGTTGCCTCTAGATGAAGGATATTCCACTTACATTTTCCATTGCTTTGAAGCTACTTGAGATCAAAATTCAATAACTCTTTGGAATCATGTCTATTTCTGTAAAAACTACCAAAATAAGCATGAGAACACAACTTGGCAATTCTTACAGACTCTGAAGTATCAGCAGCACCTTACTTTCTGATCATCTAGCTTTGCAGTAATGGAAACATTTTTCTTTGTGGTGTCACAGTTCTTCTACTGTTCCGCTTTTTCTTTGCATGACTTTATGGGAAATTACATATTGCTTCTGGGAGTACATTTGTACTGTGTGTACTCTACCTTGGGCTCTCCACTTCATAAATCAGCTCTAAATTTTTATCAAAGACGATGTCAGTTCATCCCTCACCTTTATCCCTTGGCCAAGGCTCTCAAGAGAATTAATATCCAGACCTTCCTTGCAGGCCTGCAAACAGGAAATCACTTTCTGACTCTCAATTTTGCCTGGCCGGATAGTAAGACTGGCCAGGCTGCCATGGAAATACTGAGCAAATCTGGGCTTGGTGACTTCACCTCCTGCAAGAAAGAGAATATAAAATGATTATTGATACCAATACACAAAGCACATATCTAATAATTCACTTTATGTTTTAACACATTTAAAGAATTTATATCCATTTTAGCCAAGTGTATTTGAGATCCTATTTATTGTGGTAAGTTGAATTGCTTTATGAGTTGTTGGGTAGGACCTAGTAGCAGCCTGTGTTTAAGATTCTCGTCAGTGTTTTTCCAGTATTGTATTCAGGTGTTTATAAAGCTGTGATAACATACTCTGAGATGAAACTTGGCTTCCCAAACCTGTGTCCAAGGAAGCATAGCATTTTTAAAAAAGAATTGATGAGATTATGGAAGTAATCAAACATGAATTTGAAAAAAACCGTTTAAGGTCCAACATTTATTTATACAGAAACTGTATTTCCAAGTTTTCTCTTACCAGATCACTTACACAGACTTTGCCTTTCTCCTCCAAAACAATGTTCTTAGACGTGCTAAGAGTCATGGCTCTGTGTAAGCAGACTGCTATGCTCCCTACAAATGGTTGTCTCTAACCGGTGTTAGAGATGGTGTAAATTCCTAGCAGTCAATGCAGGCCAATGCACAGGACCATGCTAAAAGGCTTATAGTGCTTCCCTTACCCAAAGCAGCTCCTTTGGTGCGAGATCAGGTCTCGTCACTGTGTGTTGCATTAGGCCCTCTAGCTACACACTATTTGGTTTCGCTCTAGGCAGCTTCAAAGGAAGACTGATCTTTAGGAGTTGTCAGTAAAATGTGATTACATACTGCCTGCACCACTGATCATAGCATCTAAATTACTCATGGGATATATAGTGATTTACCTATCCTCCTTTAGAAGAATTTTTAGAGCTTGTCTTTTCTGCAAGTGTTAGCTCTATCAGTGCATGTGAATTACTGCCTACCTTGAGCCTGAGAGGACTAAGAGAGCCACGCAACAGTGAAGCCGTGCAGACTAATTGGATTAGCAGTTGATAAGATGTTGTAATTGGCAGATAACTCATCTCTACAGTGTTTGTAGCTTTAGTGACAAACAACCTATTTCTGCCAGGCAAGGCAGCTCAAGCTTGAACTTGAAGATTTGTGTGTGGATTGGAGATAGGATAGGGATGAAGTGGCAAACTTCTTTAGGCTCATGTTGCTACCTAAAAGCCTGAAAAACATCACTTCTAGTCTGTGCACTATATGTGTACTATGAGCACTACAAATAAGACTCGAGTTATTTTATGTAGTGAAGAAAATACACACTGGTGCAGTGAGAGAAAAGGAGGTGACTAAGCAGGCTGTTTCTTCACAGAAGTAGACAGGTTTTGTTCTTTTTTTGTTAACATTGCAGCACAAACTGCCACTCTTTTTACCCCAAAGAAAGATCCTCAAGGAGAGATTATTCCTCTCCTCTCTTTCATTCATTTGTCCATTATACAAACTTTCTCTGGGTAGAATTTTTTTGAGGTTTCATAGAAACTTTCACATATGCAACAGCTAAAGTGCAGTATTAGTTTTCACTGTGATCTCAGCCTTTCTGATACCCACCAAGACAATTATTTGGTAAATACATAGTGCATTACGGGGACATTGGCTTTTTAGCAAAAAAATGTTGTTATATTTATCTCTTTACATTGTCTTTAAAAGAACATGCTGCCACTAATACGGCAGCGATGTATCTGGACAGAAAAAGGTGAGCCAAATCAGAAATAATAATAATGCAAACCTCTCCCTAAAAAGGAGAAAAAGAGAGAAAAACAGATAAGAACTTACAGAAGAACAACGGAAATCACATTGTGCTTTGAAGCTTCAAATTCTCATATCCCTAACAGAGTTCTGAAGACAGCAAGTTCCAAGGCTAAAACACCAACACTAATCCTGGATCCTTGACATTTAGAAACCTACAGTAAGTCTGCCAGTAGATCTTAGTAGTTTTGAGGAGATGCAAAATAAGAAGCAGCCTCAGATAAGCTAATGTATTTAAATATGAAACTAGCTTATTAAAATGTATAAAGGACTAGATAAGAAGCTAGAACAAGGAATTCAGTGCTGTGGCTATGCCTGACAAACAACCAGGATAAACCAGTTGAAGTAAAGCTAGAGAGTAACATGACTGGTGCTTACATCCATGAACAGGAATTTCAGGTTTGGATTTCTTTTTTTGATTGGTTCTTTCACTTTGGACTAGTTCTTCTCTGGTGTCATTGACAAAGCACCTTTAGTTACATTGCCAGGTCATTTACAATGGTACAGTAATTGCCCACAAAACATATTAAATATACAGAGTATTCACTCTGCCCAAGGCTCACTTTAACAAACACTGGTGTACAAGGAGGCAATACCATCTTGGAGATGTACAATTCTTGTTTAAAGTCATCTGTCCTGTAAGTTGTCTGCCCAACCTCTAACATAAAAGCATGGAAGAGAACATGAGTGTTTTCAGGAATAAGCTTCTAAAATGCTCTGCAAATACAGGCACTACAAAAACAATGAGTATTTGAGGAACAGGCGGCTTATATACTTACCCTGTTCACTGGACTAAGGTTGGGTTTTGTGAAGATGCATAAATTGATTTTGGACTGTAAAGGAGGTGATGTAATCTTTGTTCTAGAGAAACTATCAAGTGCTATGTAAAAAAAGCAAGTATTGCAGGAAAATGTCAGTGAAAAATAGCTGGGACTAGCTAGTCTTATATTGTGCCAGCAGAGAAAATCTGCAAAACTATGCCTATGGTTACAACAGGGCGATTCAGGCTGGGACAGCTGCACTAGAACAACTGATAGCAGAGTCTGAAGGGACACTGAAGGATGATACAGACTGTCCCCTCGCCCCAAGACAAGAACAACTGTACTCAATTCAGCCTGAGCTGTTCTAAACTCTTCTGAAGACAGAGGCTCCCCAAGAAATCCACTGCAGTGACCACTGATCCTTAGAATTGGAAGTTTATTTCTAATAGGGAATGTGAGCTGTCAAAATACAGCTATGCCTTCCCTTTTCCTTTGACAAGGTAAACAAGGCCTTTTCTTTACATCTTCAACCTAATACTGTAGGCTATGATCGTCCCTGTTGCTCTTCCTGGAACTCCTGCTATTATCTGAAGTACTAACCATAAATGAGCGCTCTTTTCAACATTATGTGTTTTACATAGGACAGGCCTGTTAATCCAGGGCAGTGTGAATACTAGCTTTTTCCACATGAAAAAACATAAGCACTTAAAGACAGAATACTATCTCACACTTTATTAGGAAAAATAGACTGCTCAATAAGCCTTCCATAAGCACCTTTTACCAGAGTTAAAGACAAAATTATATACCTGCCAGTTTTATCCTCAAAGGTGAACAGAAGTCATTGTATCTGACTCTTATCACAGCTGCTTGTAATTGCAGCATGTTGACATTCTGATATTCTTCTACCTCAGCATTTCAGAACCTTCTCAGCTCTGTGGGGTATGTTAGCTTGCTGATGTGTTTCACTTGCCAGTAATTATTAGCTTGCAAATGGACAAAATCCAATGCAATAAAATTGGGAAGCAAACCCCAAAAGTCTTGCTAAAATTGAAGGAATGGCCTAAAGTCAATCTGCTACAATCCTGTATTCTAGCTTTGATAAAAGGGATTACTGGGAATACAGTTTTTCAAGCTCCAAAAAATGTAAGAAGAAAAAACTGTCAGAATAAATTGAAAGTCCTCAGCAATTGGCTGTTTTACTCCTGCCTGTATCAGTGTTTTATTCATGCTTGGTTCTATTATATTAGTATGTTTGAATGCTGTCTTTCTGCTTCTGAAATCTAATATTCTTCAAGTATTTGACCTCAGCTTCTCTGCAGGTGCAAATTTAGCCCAGGATGGCCAATCTCCAAGTCCTAGTCACTCTAAAATTCTTAGCTCACAAGATTAGATGAGTGTAAATATATTTAATCCAGCATAAAAATGGTAACTCCATAGCATGTTAAAGCACAGTGCATAATTGTGGCTAATGCTGATAGTTACATTTTTACAGATTATCCAAATTCTTCTAAATACAGGTCTTTTCAAATAGAGATCCTTTGAACCTGAGCATGATACATTTCATGCCCATGCAGTTCCACACGCAGCTGACGGGCAGCTCAGAGCCACTGACTTCATGGGGCAGGAGGAATGCTCAGTTCCATTGTCTGAACTTGACTCATTACTGAAATCACCACATGCTGAGAAACAACTGAGGAAAAGGCATGAGCTACTCCCAACAGTTCTTACTGCTTTAAGACACTTTGAACTTAACTCTCGGTTCTGGCACCAAACAGCCTAAGCAACAATCTTTCTGAGATACTGAAGAAGACCTAAATAGATTACACAAACCTCTGGAGCAACAGTTCAGAGAACAACATGGAGCTCCAGCGATGATGATCTTGAGGTAATCCAAGTGCCCTAAAATTTTTTCTACTTCCCAATGTCATGGCGCAGTGAAAAACGAAGTGTTCTGTAACACAGCATCTGCCAGTTTCTATCCAAAGGTACAGGCCATCCAGTTAACCTAGACTGCCTCAGCAAGTTTCATGGGATTTTTTGCTGTCAGGGTCTTTTTGCCCTTTCTTACAAGTGAGATACAGCTCAGATATAGCACACCTCCACAATGACGTTATAGCATTAAGACTTGAGAAAACAAGAAAACCTACTCCTCAACTGTGTTACACGTTGTGTTTCACTCAGCTCTATGTTTATTGATTAATATGCTGTGCGTGCTAATAGCTAAGGGGATACGTAAGTAGTTAAGACTTAGCTGAATGATGTAAGCAACTAAGGAAAATGGAACCTTCCCTACTGTCAGTCAGGGAATTAGGTTAATGTCTGTAACACAAAAAAAGACTGAAACAACAGTATAGAACAACATCACTTATTCTCATTACAGACCCTTGCACGACAACTTTTCAAAGCCACTGGGTTTTTTTCCCTTCCTTAAATGTAAATATTGTGGTCACTATCACAGTTGTCAGGCAACACAGGCTACAGTGTTATTCAGACCTTGATGACAAAACCGTG